ACCACGCCTTTGTCTGGTTTTCAGGTCTGCTGTTTTTTCTGCCAACATTTGGAGTGTTTGAGGCTGGAACCCAAAACAGCCACCGTAATTTCTGAGGTAGCCATTAATTGTGGAAAGAGTTGGGAGAGCTAAAATCTGGTGCACCCTTATATGGTTGTATAATTTTTTATCCTTGTTACGCATCAGCAGGCATTCATACACCCATTGGGCAGTGTACCTATTCCCGGATGGCCCCTTGCGTTTGGAGGCATTAAAACATGCTTTCACAGCTTCTTGTTGGGCTGGAGGTAACTTAGATATAGCACTCTGAAGTACATCCTCATTTTTCTTCTCACACTCAGCTTGCATATTTTGCAATCTGACCTTGTACTTTCGAACCTGTAAAAACAGCAGAACATTAGTTTTGGCTTACTGCTGCCAAGCATTTAGTCCCTTTAAAATGAACAACTTACCTTTTCCAATAGATTTAGTTTTGACCTTTTCAAGGAACGTACAGTGTTCTTCATTTTTATTTTTTTTCTTTCCTTCCTTTCCTCTGCTTTATCCCTTCGTTGTTCAATTTTTCTCTGGCGCTCTTTTTCAGCTGCACAGAACTTGCATCGTACTTGATGCTTACTCATGACACCTCCCTCGCAACCTTCACTGTATGGTTTTCTAACTATTCCAGTTCCAGCACATACTCTAATAAGGTCAACTTTATTGACTATTTTTTCAGCATCTTTGATTGAGCAAATTTTTGGTGGAAGATTCACAAAAGTTATAGGGACTCCCCTTACTTCAATTTCAGGTAAATTTGTGCCTATAAAATTAATTGTTTTATCGGTTACTCTTGTTTTTGGATCAATGTGTGCTACAAATTTCTCTTTTTCATTCAGGGTGTTGCAACAAACCCAGTTAATGGGCAATTGCAGCTTTGTAACTAAACAACATGACCAGGTCTCTGAGGTGCTTCTGGAAATTTCACTGTCACTGTTGTTTGCTGGTTGGACTTCTTCTATTTGGTCAGTATCCTGTATGTCAGTGTGGTGGTTTTCTGGAATGGAATCTGGAATGGTTCTTGTATCTTGAGTGTCTAAGATATCTTTTTTTTCTTTTTTGGCAGCAGGTCCCAGATCAGAACGTTCAGCTGGAGGCTTTCTGTGAGTGATCTTAGGCTGGTAATATGGGGGATATTTGTCCAGCAAGACTGGCATAGCACCAGGTCTGAGTCCCGCTCTTTCTCTTGGTGAGCGAACCACATTTCCATTAATCTTAACTTCATCATACAAAATTAAGTACTCTTCAGGAATATGTTCAGAGCAAACCCTGTCAGTTTTTTTCAGATACTTAAGTTGCTTTGCTTTTTTATTTCCTTTGCAAACTGTCTCTTCTCTCTTAATTATATGAGACCATTTTATTCTAGCCTCCTGCAAATAAAGTGTAGTTTTGTTTCAGAATTTGAATGAAATATAGTGCAGAAACTAGCTGACTTAATTGATGTCCACGTTTTCTACCCCTATAATTTTATTGGACTGTCTGTGACTTACTTCGGCCCAAAATAGTCAGTACAATTTTAAAGCAAGTTGTGTAAATTATTACAAGTTTGCTGTCACTTTTTGTTTCTAAATCAAACCAATCAAACCCAGGTATGTACTCAGGGAATGTACTTAAAATCACTATGTACTGTATCTATTTTTGGTCTAATCAAACATGTAATACGACTACTATCCTTTCAGGAGATCTGTACAAGTTGGCAAAAGAGTGAAACAAAAGGCCAAGCACAACCTTAATAAATCCGAACAAAGGACTTCATGACTAGAATTTAGATGAATTAATTAATTTACATAGTGATTAGACAAGGATTAGGCCGGGTCATTATTTTCATGTGCCACAAGAAAAATTATTTTGAAGCTTTTAGTAAAGATCTCCTGATGTAAGCCATTGTTCTCAGTCAGCAGGCATTGTACAAAGGCTTACAAGGATCTATGTTACCTCATTAGGAGCTTGAAAGAAATGTAACTTGGGTAAATTGTTGTCCTCATAATACTGAAGTTGGGCCTTGGACCCTCCTTTACAATCTGGTACAAAACAATAAGGCATTTTGTCTGGCCATAAGTCAACTGTGATGGTCTGAAGGGTTATCACGGCTTTTGTTTTGGTTTTCTCTCGAAAAGTTAGGCCTTTTCGACGATAGTTTCTAAATTTTGTTAATTTTAACGCAAGGGATTTAGCCGCGAAACCAGTGCAAATTTGAATGGGACGGCGGGTTCATCGGAGTAGTCTTTGTGTAACACTGACAAACAAGCATTTTAATGTAAAATTAATGTGAATTAAAAACTATTCCTGGCGCTGAAGTGGTTTTCATAACATGACATTGAACAGAATCTTCTTAAAACCTTGATATTACGTCTATACCGTCGACCATTCGGTCCGAGCCCGACGGCGAGCCGAGCCCAGCCGAGCCCGAGGACGACCATGGCCCGGCGCGGTCAGTCGTCCCGGCGAACTTTGAGGGTCTCTCCACTGAGCTGCGTCCGTCGGATCGAACAAACACTTATACCGTTGGAAAGCTTGAACTTTGGGCTACATTCGCCCCGCTTTGACCTACCCTCTATTTCCTATGGTTTAAGAGATAGAGCCGAGGAAAGCCGCGCGCGTCGGCCCGGGCGGCCGGTGCGCGTGAGCCGGCGATTTTTCCTTGGCTCCTGTTCAGGCTGTATTGATCGTATCGAACAAACTTTTATAGCGTCGGAAAGCTTGAACCTTGCTCTACAATAAAGTACTTGGGTCCCACCCAGCTACGTTGAACGGTTAAGGACCTAGGGCCGTGGAAAGCGCAGGGCGGCGCGAGCGCCCGTAAGCGCCCGGCCGCCAGCCCCGCGGCGAGTCGCCGTAGCGACAGTAGCGCTGCGCAGCGGCCGGCGGTCGAGACAGGAGCCCCGGCCGCCGCCGGGTGACAGTTCCTTACACGTAGCCGTTGCTCCATCCAAATATCTTACTCCGTG